GGGTCGCCTCGAACAGTAGTTTTATGGCTGAAAATAATACTGTAGTATAAACAGTGAATTTAATATCCTCTATATTATGTAGCATAAATATTTACTCTGTAGCATAAACAATGATCTTTGAGATTTTGCTTTTAAGGTAGGAGTAGTATATAGAAGATACCCCTCCCATTCTATATAAAGACATAACCTTGCATTCAACCATCTAGAGGGGAAGAGAGAGAGAGAGAGAGAGAGAGAGAGGAGAGAGAGAGAGACAAACGAAAGTCCCATCTTCTTCTCTCTTCTAGTCCCTCTGTATTTTTCTTCTTCTTCTTCTTGTTATTGTTTCCTCTCTCTCTCTCTTTTGTTGAGAATGGTTGCTTCTTTATCTTCTTGGCCTTGGGACAACATGGGACTGTACAAGGCGTGTTATGTCTTCATGACTTAATATTTCAAAAATCCTTCTCATGATTTTTTTCATTGTTCTTCTCCTAACTGTTTTTTATTTTATTATTATTAAATGCTAGCTCTTTCTTTCTATTTTGCAGTATCTACTGTACGGTCCATTTGTAGCCAATGTGATCTACTCCAAGGACTCGTGGTGCCTTCACATCTTGATCCTTTGTATGCTTAGAGGTCTAGTATACCAATTTTGGACCATGTTCGGCAACTGGCTCTTCCTGGTTCGTCGTCGTAGGATCATCAAAGACGGCGTTGATTTCAATCAGATTGACAAGGAATGGGATTGGTATATATACATCCTTCCTGCTCCTCCGATTCTTTTTTTTTTTCTTTCTTTCATAATAATATTTTGATACTATGTTATAAATCGTGATCTTTATATGATGATGTTTTATCTGGTGCAGGGACAACTTCTTGATTCTTCAAGCTTTTATGGGAGCGTTGTTCTGTTACTTGGTGCCCAACATAAGCGAGCTCCCGGTTTGGGACCTGAGAGGTGCCCCTGTAGTTATGATGCTCCATGTGCTCGTCTCAGAGCCTGGCTTCTATTTGGCTCACAGATACTTTCATGGATCACATCATTTCTTCAAAAATTACCACTCCCATCACCATTCCTCTAGAGTCCCCATGTCCTTCACTGGTATGCACTTCATCTCCCTCTCTCTCTCTCTCTCTCTCTCTCTCTGCCCCCAAAGTCTACTCTTGTACAGTGTTTAATGAGGGGATTAAATGTCACCGACAGCCTGACATGGGGAAGTCATTGCTGAGAAAGTTATATGATGGTTCCCATCTATTGCACTACTGGTGCAAAAGAGCGACGTCAACCATACTTAAAAAAAAAATTTAAACATCGATCCATCATTAATGCAATAGACCAACGTCCCTGATCCAACTGGGTTCATTTATCTCTCGTAATGTTGCCCTGATTCATTGTACTGATAATGTACAAAGAGGATAGTTAATCATTGGATTGGTAGACTTGAGGGCTGGTATGCCGATCCAACGCGGTTGGGGCGCGTTTGGTTGCTTCTTTTAGAGGGGGGAAATGGGTTGAAAGCCTGCCAAAAGTGTCAGTTTTGGCATGCTTTCTTACAAAAACAAGCCTTGCAAAAACGCCTCTAAAAGAGACGTTTTTGCAAGAAAGCCTGCCAAAACTGACACTTTTGGCAGGCTTTCCCCTTCCCCCTTATGCAAACAAACAGCCCCTTGGTCTCTCTGACGCACCATTAATGCATTGAACTAGAAACGCCGGATACTTTCTCCTAGTTGTTATTTCCCTTCCTTTAATCTTTTTTGTGATGTACGTATATGCAGCTGGATATGCTACACCTTTGGAGCATCTAGTGATGGGTGTGATAATAAGCGCGCCGCTTCTTGGGTCCCTTTTGGTGGGAGTTGGCTCTATTGGGATGATCTATGGCTATGTGCTCTTGTTTGACTCCCTCAGTTGCATGGGCCATTGCAACGTGGAGATCTTCCCCTATAGGATCTTTGAAGCATTTCCAACTCTAAGATACCTCATCTACACACCCACGTAAGCTAAATTATTTTCCTTGTGGGCACCCAATTTAAGGAATTATTTAGTTCTTGTTAGGCATGTTACATGCATGATACAAGTTCACCCCTTGTGTTATAAAACAAGGCCTACCAAATAATTTCTAGCTCTTAATTATTTTTGATGTTACATGTTGAAGTTGTCTCATGTTTGAAGGTGACCAGTCCATAGGAGTCACATTAGGTCCAACCAAACTTAATTAATTGCTGTTGTTAGGTGAGGGTTGTATTTTACTCGAAGCCCCTCATCTATTTTTGGCATTTAAGAGAAATGTCCCTTAACCTTTTTTTCGCTACAAGGACAATGCTAGTCAATCTTAAGTGCATAAACTACTTCTTTCAGCTCATTAACTCCTTTGCTTTTAACCAAACAAGTCATGTTGGTGGATATATCATTGTTTCTTTATTACCTAGCATTCATGCTCAAAAGTTGGTGCATTTGTTAGGTAAAAAAAAGAAATAAAAGAAAAAGAAGATATTGCTTTGCATTAATTTTTAAATCTCCAAGTAGTTAAACCCTCCAAGTTTATTCTCACAAAGCATCCTTCACGTGAGGTATGGTGCAAAATAGAAATAGAGTTAGGATAAAAGAAACTAATCTCTTTGTATCATGATAAAAGATTAGTGAGAGTTTCTAAAACTAGTACTATGCCTTAAATGTTTTATTTGACAGGTACCATACCCTCCACCACACTGACAAAAACTCCAACTTTTGCCTTTTTATGCCTCTATTTGATGCATTGGGAGGCACAATCAATGGCAAGTCCTGGGAGTTACAGAAGGAAGTTAGCTCAGGTACATATACAAGCCTTTGCCATGTACTTTTAAATAGATAAATTAACAAATAAATAAGTACATAACATGGTAACTTTATTTTACTTTTTTTTCCCTGATAAAATACTCCTTTTACTTGTTTTGCACCAGCTATATCATATACGTATAATATTTCAAGTGCATTTACTTATGTTTATAGGCCTTTAGCCCAGGGCCGACCCCGAGGTTTGGGTTGCCCTAGCCCAATCCAATTTTGGTTTCCCCTTATATTAAAAATTTGGTACGAATAATAACGATAAAAATAAATACATATAATACCATTTAGCGTTCTATATTAGGCTTAAACTGATAATATTCTCTTGCAAAATCAATATTCATATAAGAAAAAATTACATTTGTGCTACAATTTAATTCAAAGAAAAACACTTCTCCTTGAATTTTTTGAAGCGAATTCTTCAATTAAGTCATCATACTCGAGTTTCTCGAAGTATTCATTTTTAATTGATATCATTGCCAATCCATTCAATCAATCCTATGACATGGTAGTGCGAAGATAACATATATGAAATGACAACAATCAACTAAACTGATACCGGAACGAAGACTTAGCAATATCATTATTATTAAAACAATCAAACAATTAATCTAGATAGCAATCCAATAATATGAATGTCATCAAATCAAAGTTAAATTGAGATTATAATTAAAACCAAATAGAAATATATCAGATTATCGTCCATTAGGATTTTCGAGTTTTACATGATTAGAAGGGAGATGAACTTTTTAACAAGTAAACATTATTTCCTTTTTCTATCTTTCAACTTTGATAAGCTTCTTTTAAACTTATGGAGACCGTGAAAAACTAGTCAGAAGGCATAATTGTGCCACCCAAATAGCTAAATCAAATATAATTTTCAGTTTCAAAACAAAAACCTAGACGAAGCCGTCCAAACATTATAACCCCTAATTCAACAACTAATATTCAGCTAAGATTCAAAATCAGAAATCTTAATTTCATTGCAAAACATCAAAACCCCAAATTTTCGTCCCAAAAAACCCTAAAATTATTTATTTAAAAAAATTACCTGATTGTGTTCTTTGATGGACCGATCGGCTATCGGTGTCGATAAGTCGATTCAGATTCTCTCTGTCTTTTGGGTGACTAGATCAGACTATCGGAGGAGTCAGCGGGGTGGTCCGAAGGATGGGAGCAGAGACGAGAAGGAGGAGTTGGAGGCTGACGGAATAGAGACGGCGGAACAGAGCGGTGTGTCCGTCGATTCAGATTCTCTCCATTTTTTTTCTTTTTTTTGTGAGCGGCGGAACAGAGACGAGAAGGAGGAGAGGAGGCTAACGGAAATAAAGGAGGAGCTGGGTAGGACTTTGGGTATTAATAAGAGTTTTTTACTAATAGAACCCCTAACAATTTTTGCATAAAATTAAGTCCTCTTACAAAGTCCACTTCGAAAATTATTACGGTTTGAGGGGTGAAGGATGTAATCGCGATGGTATGGGTCAAGAAGATGATTTTGTTAGAATACTTTTAAATACTAAATTTACATGTTTGCTTATAAGGGGTATAGATTATATAGGAAAGTCTAGAAAGTGGTGTTTGTCATGGCAAAAATTCATGTCAGAAATACTTTCTCAGAAGCTTTTTTTTCATGTGTGCCCGTCAATAATAATAATAATAATAACAACAAAGCATTTATGGGGTCCATTTCCACACCCAACCATCAAGGGAGACAAGGTGAAAATAATGAACGTGCACCTAAGGGGCTGTTTGGTTGTATGTTTTTACCATGTAAAAGGATGGAAAGTGTAAAAAAGTGGGTCCCAATGTCAGCTTTCATCACTTTTAATTGTTTGTTTGTAGTTGTGAAAATAGTGTAAAGTTATTTCATATGCTGATGTGGCTTGTAAAGTGATTTCATAAAAAAAAGACATGATTTTAGGAGAAAGCTGACGTTGAAGTCAGGAAAAAATAATAAAAAATAATTCCAACCAATATTATCATTTGAGTAGGGACAATTTTTTATACTTTCCAAACAAACAATTAAAGTTACATTTACTAACCAAACAAGCAATTTATGATTCCAATGAAATAATACTTTCCAAACAAACAATTAAAGTTACATTTACTAACCAAACAAGCAATTTATGATTCCAATGAAATAAAAAACAAACAAAGAAAAGTATAAAATACATTTACTAACCAAACAAGCAATTTATGATTCCAATGAAATAAAAAACAAACAAAGAAAAGTATAAAAATAAAATTGAACAGGTGGATAACAACCTTCCAAGTTGTGTCATAAATACACAACTTTACCAACAACAACCAAACAGCCCCTAAAGGATGTCTTGTTCCAACTTCCGATAAGGACGGTGCATGGCATTAAATGTGCTCCAAAGGATGTCGATTCTTGAATTTGTGCACGAATTTAATGATCAAAACAGCTAACATCCATTTGGTGCATATTTAATGTCATGAATCCGGGTGCAGTTGATGCTTTTCTGAAAAGATGACTATATATACTTTCCCAAGTATCTACTTTCCACCGAAACAAACAAACGATTCTTTTAAAAACAAGAAAATGATAAGTTTTCATACTATTTTTCTCATCATTAATGCCTCAAGGACCTAAATAGGGGACTCAATGCATGGGACATGTGTGGTGTCACCATCCGGTTGTATGATGCACTGTTCATGAACAGTGCATCATGCAAACCGGATGGTGACACCTCATTTGTCTCATGCCTTGGGTCCCTGTAGCAACACCCTTTTCTCATAATCAACATGATACTTGTTTGAAGAGGAGAATGAATATTTTGAGGGGGAAAAAAATCTGATATCATAAATGATATATCAAAGGCTGATAAGCTGGATCCAACTTCCAAGGCTTTGACATAAATGATCCATTAATGAGCTCTGAGCCTCAGACATCCACGGCTCAAGTGTGGGACTTGTTTCGTGGGCATCACTGCCTCAGTTTGTAACTTTATAGAAAGTTTTCATAACAGACTCGGTTTGATGGGGCCAAGTCCATAATTCGATATTTACTGATTGCCTATTAATTTCATTGTCTTTTTTCTAATTTTCTACATGCCACCCTTTGAAACTTTGCAAGGGCTATGTTGACTCATTGACAGAAATTGAATCTGATTATATTTGTCTAAATATAATCTCATCTCATATCTTTCTATATCAGACTCGCACTTAAAAAATGAATGAATATAGGACATCCCTAACGGCCTGCAATGCTAACAAATCGCGCCAGAAAATGCTGTTTTCTTGAGACAATCGGTCTTGATCCTCCTGAAAACCAACCATTATCGAATCTGAGTTTCCAAATATTTTACAAAGGATTAACAAGGATTTATTATTGATCTTCGGGGGAAAAAAACGTGTGCGTATCATTTAGCTCACATTGAAGAAATGAATGCATATATGACCTAAAATAGGGTCATTTGTTTCATGTCTTCATTTTCTTAGTGCAGTACTGGAAAGCCTGAACACCTGGTACACTCATTCAACTTTCCCTTTAGTGCTTATTAATCACGCTCCTCTTGCTTTACTTCAATAACAATTCTCAAAATATACAGTATGTCGGTATTGAAGTAACTTGTATATTGTATAGCGCAGTACATAAAGTCGTAAAATACCTGCTCAAACCAGATTTTTTTCCCCTTCACTATTGAACATAGGGCGAATGACCAGCCTATGCATAATTTAACTGTACATCCATCTAACTGTTTTTTTCAAGTACGGGACCGAACCCCTACTTATGCCTTTGTTAAGGCTAAACCCACACTTAAACTGAATGAGTGCAGGAAAGAATGACCAGGCTCCTGATTTCGTGTTCCTGGCTCACATAGTCGACATGTTCCACTCCATGCACGCTCCCATTGTCTTCCGGAGTGTCGCTTCAATCCCATTCTTCATTCAACCATTCATGTTTTTCCTCCTCCCTCTCGGAATGACAATGATGCTCTTGATGTGGGCTTGGTCCAAAACCTTCGTTCTCGCCTTCTACAACTTGCGAGGAAAACTGCACCAGATATGGCTGGTTCCTCGACACGGGTTCCATGTAAGTGGACTTGTGGTGTGTTTTTGGGGGGAGTGGTTTTCATGTCAGTTGTGTTAAATAATTGAGGGTTCTTTTTTGATGTTTTTGCAGTATTTCTTGCCTTTTTGTACGGAGGGCATCAATAAACAGATTGAGATGAGTATCTTAAGGGCAAATAAGATGGGGGTTAAGGTGATAAGCCTTGCTGCATTGAATAAGGTAATACTTCAGAGTTCAGATACCTTAGGTTCTTTTTATTGTCGTGAGAGAAACTTAAATTCCCTATTTTAGATAATATTACTTGGGAGAAAAACAATATCGCGGGTTTTGAACCTTGGTTTTGTGCAGAATGAAGCACTAAATGGTGGTGGGACGCTCTTTGTTAACAAGCACCCTGATCTCAAGGTCAGAGTAGTACATGGGAACACATTAACAGCCGCAGTTATTCTCAATGAGATCCCCTCAGATGCAAAAGAGGTTTTCCTGAATGGATCCACATCGAAACTAGGAAGGGCAATCGCGTTGTACTTGTGTCGAAAGAAAATCCGCGTCATGGTAAGCTGCAACGTTCATTTTTTCCCTCCGAATTTCCAAAAAATAAAAAATAAAAAATTAGCAATCAAACTACTAATACAAATTTTATGAATGTTATAGATGTTGACGCTATCGGCAGAAAGATTTCAGAAGATCCAGAAGGAAGCACCAGCAGATTGCCAGCATTACTTGGTGCAGGTTACGAAATACCAGGCAGCACAAAATTGCAAGGTATCACTTTTCTGATTTCAGGACCAAAAGTTTGTTAGCGTTTGGTCTCTAACTCATCATCAAAAATCTTTAGAATTGGATTGTTGGGAAGTGGATTACCCCTAGAGAGCAAAGGTGGGCACCTCCCGGAACTCACTTCCACCAGTTCGTTGTGCCTCCAATCATCGGTTTCAGAAGGGACTGCACTTACGGGAAGTTGGCTGCGATGAAACTGCCTGAAGATGTACAAGGGCTAGGAATGTGTGAGGTAACTCGACTTCCTCACTAATCCGTTTACTCAGAAATCTTACATTAGTCTGTTCTGTCCTATAATCTTTGAGCCAGGGATGTGTGAGGTAACTAGAGTTCCCTTCATTTTCCTCTTGATTCAGAAATCTAGATTAGTCTGTTCTATCTTATAAACTTTCTTCTTAGCTCCTTCTATGTTCTGTATCTATTTTTAGTCGGTGAATTTATTGAGCATCTTTGTCCTGATCACTCAAAAAGATGTATCGAATATTACCTGAATCCTTACTCTTTGGAACAGTACACGCTGGATCGAGGAGTAGTTCATGCTTGTCATGCTGGAGGCGTGGTCCATTTCTTAGAGGGATGGAACTATCACGAGGTTGGCGCGATAGATGTAGAAAAGATTGATGTGGTTTGGGCTGCAGCGATGAAACACGGGCTAAAACCCGTGTGACATAGATTGAGCTAGTCAAAATTTTCAAACTTGTTCTCCTCCTTTGTCTTGTTTTTTATTTAATTTTCTTTTCTCCAATGTAACAACATAAGGGTTAGTAGTATTGCTGCTATGAATTGTTGGTGTTACTGTTATGAATTAGTGATTACATGATTTGTATTTCTCACAGAGGTTAGGGGAGCAAATTGTTGCAGCACTATCTTGAGTGATTTCGGATGTACCTCTACTTTTTTATTTGCCTCTCTCTTTGTTCTTGACAATTCTTCTCATTGTTTTGTTTTGCTTTCTTCTTCTTCTTCTTCTTTTCTTTTCTTTTTTTTTCTTTTTTTTCTTTTTTCTTTTTTGAGGCTATCCTTGAATTTAGATGGTACAGGCTAATCTACTTGACCCAATTATCTCAAAGGAATTAACCCATATATTCATCTGATTGTTTTTTCCAATAATGGACTAAATAGGGAAAATTTGCAAAATAGACCATTTTTATAAAATATATAGCGAAATAGACCACTTTGAAAAATAATTAGCAAAATAAACATCTTTTGAAAAAAAAAGGTCGATTTTAAAAAATAAGGCTCAGAAAACATACGGGACTACTAGTCCCGTATGTTTAGAGCCAACTAATCAAGGATTAGTGACTCAGAAAACATACGGGACTAGTAGTCCCGTATGTTTTCTGAGTAAAAAATTTCACTAATCCGTGATTAAAACATACGGGACTACTAGTCCCGTATGTTTTCTGAGCTGTTTTGCTAAATAGACCTCTTTTTGACCTGTTGGCCAAAAAGAGGTCTATTTTGCTAATTATTTAGCAAAACGGTCTATTTTGCTAAATAATTAGCAAAAACGGTCTATTTTGTAATTTTTCCCTTTTTTTAGAATGTACGCGGGAGACTCATAACAACATTGAAACGACTTAAACCGAACCTACTTGCAAATGCAGCATGCTCATAGGATTTAATTATTGAGAATGTTCTTGTACGCTGCATGTACTGATGTAAATTAATTTGCTTCGACGCAAATGAAACTATGGCAACTAATTAGAACGGGTAACTCTCCCATTGCCGACAAATTAATTTGGCTGCTTAGCGATCAAAGAGTTTGTTCAGGTTTGTTTATTTCCTCAATAGGTTTTTGCAAGTAAAATTAATAAATTCTTTGGTGTCCCTGCCAACTATATATACTTAAAACAAACGCAAGCGAAGGCTGCTGGGGGTCACAACCTCATGTGGGACTATATGAGTACTGTTTTGAACAGTGGCGGGGTACAAGACTCAATTCACAATTAAACAAGCAACATTGACCCGCACGTTGCCGCGCTGCATTAACGTGAAAACTATCGAAAAATTTAAATTAAGTATTTGGTTAAAAAAATAGATATTTAACCATTTAGAACAAAAATATACCACTTAGACTATCTCCAATGGTGTCCTATTTAATTGTCATTCCCAACATGCCACATAATATTCTCTCTCTTCCACATAATCAAATAAACCCCACAAACATTCACCATTTCCAATGGTGTCTTATTCATGTCTAATTTGGACCCCACTATGAAAGCTTTTTTCAAACACCGTGCGGATTTCCAGAAAAAGCATGGGCCCATGTTGAATTTGAGACCGTCTCATTTATTTGAGACAATTGAGTCTCTCTCCATCCTTGGTGGCAAATAAGACAACAAATAGGACACTAGTGGGTGTCCCTTTCCAATTAATAAGACACCATTGCTGATAGTCTTACAACAAATTCAAATTGTTAAATACAAAATGGATTTCAAAATAATTCGTTTGAGTATTTTGTGTCTAAGAATAATTTTGGAAATGCATATATTTCAAGACAAATGGGTATGAACTTCGGGTTTATAGGCAAAAGAAATTCTTTTTGGAGGTGGGTGTAAAAAACAAATGGGGGTAAAACTTTTGGTTTTTATGATAAAAATCCATCTATGATGCCACAACAATAGTGTGAGAAGAGCAAAGATAACTTTTGGAAGTTGGGTGAGTTCAAAAATAAAGGAAGGCAAAACTTTGGATATATACGTCAAAAGTCCTTTTGGAGGTGGATGAATCACCTAGAACTTTTTAAGTAGAACTGGGATAATTAGTAAAGTGGGATAATTTTTTGACACTGGGATACTTTAGTGAAACAATGATGGGTAATTCTTAATGTGGGATAATTTGGTAGGATAATTTAGTGGGATAATGATGGATAATATTATGAAGTTGCATAATTTGGTAGGATAATTTGGTGGGGGTAATGGTGGGTATAAATTACTATTGTTAATAATTGTATATTAAAAATAATATAATATTGATAAGCAAATTCTAGTGATAACTATAAAATATAATGCAATAAAGCATCACTATTCATCTCAAATAATAAAATAATGGAGAAATTTTTAAAACCAACCATTTTTAAAAATTAATAGGCAAAATCGACCTAAACTGAAAAATATTAGCAAAACTGACCCTTTTCAGAAGAAAAGGGTCGGTTTTGCAGCGGAAGGTCTTTTGCGAAGTGCACGGGACTGCTAGTCCCGTGCACTTGGTGTTCAGCTGCCCTCTCTGCTTAAAAGTAAACACCAAGTGCACGGGGCTAGCAGTCCCGTGCACTTGGTGTTCCAGCAGCTGCTCTCTGCTTAAAAGTCGGGACTGGCAGTCCCGACTTTTAAGCAGAGAGGGCAGTCGTTTGCTGAACACCAAGTGCACGGGACTAGCAGTCCCGTGCACTCGCTGTGCACATTTTTGTGTAATTTTGTCTGCATTTCAAGTAGTTCCTGTGCATACATCAACACAAACTTCCTCTAACAAGTCACATACTCATTTCACCACTGCATTTCATGTAGTCCCTGTGCATACATCCACACAAACTCCCACTAACAAATTACATACGGATTTCACCACATACTCATTTCAAATCAAACAAATCATATCACACCACAAACTCCCACTAACAAATCCAACATAATATCACCACAAACCCACTTAGAAATCAAACATATCACACGATATTATCGACTACAAATCCAAAAATCACATCCCTAAATAGTTTTGTAATGTATATAACCTGTAGTTTACATACATCCAAGAACTCTCCTCCTCCTCCTTTGTCTTCGTCGTCCTCCATACCGCCCTTCGACGAGTTCGTGATCCGGTTGCGTTTGTGGTTGTGACGGTCCAGCTCCATCGTCGACACGTTGGGAAGGTCCAGCTTCATCGTTATTTCTGCGTCGTCCTCGACTTTGTCGCTGTTGTCGTGTATATACGAATGACCTTACCTCCCGTCCATCATGACGATCTTCGTGAGTTCGGTGTAAGGCTTGTTGAAGCCTCTGCATTATAGCCTGATATATTGATACATGTTCATGTGCTTCGGGATTTCTATCTGCTGCGATAGATAGTTCAAAAACAAAATTTCATATTAAATTTGATATTACAGAATGTAAATTTGAGATTTAATTTTATCGTACCTGCTCGAGCCAATTCCAAGCCACGATTTGCAAGAGTTTGAACTTCATTTATTGCTGATACCTGTAAATTTGAGATTTAATTTTATCGTACCTGCTCGAGCCAATTCCAAGCCACGATTTGCAAGAGTTTGAACTTCATCTATTGCTGATACCTGCAAATTTTTCAACACATAAAGTACCAATAAAAATGGACTTAAATCAAAATATGAAAATACTTACTAATTCTCTCTCATCTATACCCCGGGGCACATATCCTCTTTGCGACTCAACCGGTATTGTGGTCGAATGAAGTATCCATCTTCGGGTTATGTCCCAATACCAAGTGTAGTAATCTGATTCCCGAGGAGTTGGTTCAATTTGGTTGACAATACAAAAATGCCTATCATTCCATCTGTGTATAAAAGCTTGGTGCACGATCATCCAGTTTATTTGTTGGCCTCCTTTCTTTGCCTTCCTCTCTATCTTTTCAACAAACTGCGGAACATGTTGTGCACGATCATATTGTTGAAGCACGTGGTCCGGTACATGCATTTCTACTATCTCCAAACATATAAGAGGAACTCTAGCTCTCCATACAACTTGGTATTCTGTGCATATTGGGGGTAGCTGAGGTAGAAATTGGGTGTAGGGCTCCCATTCCATCTATAATAATTTAATGCAGTTGCATATCAGAATTGGGTTTTCAGTATGTAGAAGAAAAAGCACATGTTTTTCGGTGAGAATTACCTGAAAAATCTTCATACGGTCAAGCTCATTCCGGTAGAAATCCAATTGTCTAGCCGGGGTCTCGTCATAGCATTTTTCGACATTCCATCTACAAAAAAATGTTTGTCATACATTTAGTACCACAATGATAACTACAATTATATTCGCTACATAAAAAATACAATACCTGCATCCCAGTGGAATTTGTCCATCTAATTGTAAATGTGTGCATAGTCTCGGCTTCAAATGAAGTCTCTCCCATGCCCATACTTGCAATAAGCTTAGACACCCTTTAAGCTCACTGTTTTGCATAAGTGCCACTTTTGACATCTCTCTATATAAATACGCCAAAACGGCACTACCCCACGATTTTGTACCACATACGTCCAAGTCCTCGAGGAGTGGTAACCACCTAGCATATTCACAATATTCCAATTTATTAAAATAAGCTAATTCAATGAAATACAGATTCATATTATAAATACACATACCTCGCATGCACTTTATCTTTACTTGAATCTGGAAATAATATAGTACCAATCATGTGCATAATGTATGCACGTGCATGTTGGTCAACCAAAATTTGTGGGGCATCAACAGGCAACGGTACTGAGAAGATCTCTCTCAACCACTTCAACTTAATATTTCCTCGAGGCATAGGCTCTGGAGCTACACCTAACAACTCCTCACATCTTCGAGGCCATACATCACTATCAGTGCCGGTAATGCACGGACCATCTATACGGAGACCGAGTATCACGGATACATCTTGTAGAGTAATGGTAGCCTCACCCATTCGGAAGTGGAAAGTATTGGTCTCAGGTCTCCA